AAATCTGATTACAATGAGGAAAGGCATTATATATTCTAGAGTAAAGTAATATAATGCTATTAGTATATAATACTAAATATTAATATATAGCATATAATAAGACACATGATAAAAATATGGGGAGATTGTTATGAAAGACTGAAATCATCTGAAAGACTACTCTTTTTAGTAACAACTGAAAAAGGTAACAAATGCAACAAAATTCATTGTACCCTGAGCTTTGCAGAGTTATTCAAAATAATTCCCCCCACATAGATTTATTATTAGACACAATATAAAGTCTTAGATCACAGAGTCCCTGCATGTAAATTTTTGAGGTTTTTTTTTTCTCCAAAATAAGTAGAAGGAAAAAATAGCTTTGCAATATTTTCCCTTCCCAAACTCTTTATTCATCTGCTAGCTTACCGAAAAAGAAAAAAAAAATGAACATGAGATATGCTGTATAATTCCATAAGGATGTAAGCACGTGAAAGGATTTTTCTTCTGTGTATAGAAAATGATACTCACTTCCTAGAGAGGAGTTTAATGTAAAATTAAGAAGTAGATGGAATTGTGTTAAAATGAATTTCCCTGAAAGCCATGGACAGCATACAAAAAATCATATATTGTTACAATAGTTTGATAAACACATAAGAGAAGTGATGAAGAAATGAAAAAGTTTCTTCCTCTGAAGCTAACTTGCCCTCTAGAACCATCTAATTCTTTTCAAACAACTTCATTGAATGCTAAATGCTATTTCTTCTTTTTCAGAAAGACTACTTATATCTACACAAAACGTAGCTTCAAACCTAGATATACTTAACCATTCACTTTTTAAAAGACATCATGCTTTCTCTTATGTAACCACATGTATAACTAAATACTACATATCTAAAATGCATTAATATTCCCTTCTTTGTATAATACAAATGTAAGTTGTATAATACAGATGTCAACTGCAAGTTGACATGTCTTGTGTTTTCACAGTAAATAGTGTAAAACTCTTAAGATCATTGTCAACCTTGTTAAAAATTGTCAATAAAGGTCACTGTGAAATTTATGTGAATAAATATGTGCAACATGCTGAATATGGTAGCTTTGTGTGTGTGTGTCTGCACAGACACACTATTCTTATCTCAGAATGACCAGTATTAAGGTAAAAAGAAATCTTTCCTAACATGCTATTAAGCATCCTCTGTAATAAGACCTTTATAGCTATTATGCCAATATCTTTGCCTACACTACTTAGAAGAATCCATCTTGAATTCACCCAACTTATCTAATGTTGTTTTTTTTTAATTTCTTAGGTTTTTCATGTTTATTAAGTATCAGTGCTGTTATATCACTTTTGTGTTGTTTTTATTAAAAGTTGTAATAAATCAACTCAATACAACGTGACTACCTCTCTGGACATTTGGTACAACTGCTACTTGAACTGTATCTAATGCTCAGTTCAGTGACATATAGACCTGTCTCCTCAACTAGCTAGCTAGGCTACGTATCTTGCCAAAGAATTTCTTTTAACTATACTGTGTCTAGCACTACCATAATAGAAACCAACTTGTGATCAGTTGAAGCAAAACTTAGCCTATATTTCAACTTTTCTTATACACTGTATGTCATTTAACTAAGATCTATAAAATCTATCTAATTCTGTTTTCAGAAAAGAAAATTCAGTCCATGTCTGCAATTTCATTACCTCCATGCTTTTTATCTGCTAAGAACTGTGCTTTGTGTTGGGAAGGTGATTACAAAGACATGGATACTTTTAGACTGGCATGTGGAAAAAAATAAAATCTTATATGACTATCACAAATCAGGATGTTTTTCTCATGTAACAATGTCGGGATGCTGGTAGAAGTTCCCTAGCTACGTATCACATATTGTCACTGCAGTGTTTGATAATTCACATATGTGAATTATCACTACAATGTTATTGCTGAAATTCAGCCAATTTTCATCTCATTCTTATTCACATAATGTTTTGCAAATTCCATTTTGAGAAATCACTCTGCTGTTGCACTTCTACCACCCTCGTGTACAGTTTTTACTGGTTTGTGTGTGTCACTGGTTTATAACTTACATATAGCTCCATTTTAAAACATTCTCCAGGGGCCTCCCTGATAGCACAACAGGTTAGGACACAACCTATGAAGCACCAGTTCAAACCCTGGCCAGAGACCTACCCACATGGCACAGCAGACCTCTCCTGGCTTGCCCGCTGCTCCCCTCAGCAGTGTATTTCTTTCAGTCTCCCTGTTCTGTTCCCCATTCTGTCTCTGGTGAATCCTCTCACCCCTCACACCTCTGGCATGTACTCCAGTTCTTGTATGCATAAATAAATATATCTTTTTAAAAAAAAAGTTCTCCAGAAAATGAAGCTTGTGATAGATACCTAATGTTAATTTACTACAATAACTTCCAAATTAAACTTTTGCCAAGAAATTATTAAATAGTGCAGAGTTCTAAAAACAAAAGTCCCTGAAACTTTGGCAATATGTTGATCTGTTATGGCAGAAAATCATATAAGGGCAATTAAATTAGTCCCTTACATTTGAAGGACTGATTATTGAATTACATTTGTACATTTAATGTCAAATGTATATGAATATGTGTTCAAAAAAGAATTGATATTTGTGACAATGCTTACATACAGGGGAACACAGATTTTCATTACATCTAATTTTTGGTGATTTAGGGATTGTCCCAACAGAAGAGGAAAAAAAGTCAATAATATTTTATCAATAAAACATGCAAATATACAAATACAGTCTGGTAACAAAATACTTTGTCTAACCTTTATCCACTGAATCTGTAAACCATGCTAATCAAGAAAAACATCATGCCAAAAACAATTCAGAAGTGAACACTTCCACACTTCTTTAAAATTTTATCTGCATTCATAAATCACCATTAAAATTTACCAATAGCTTTATCTTTTCCTTTTACAATTATTCTAATGGTCCTGCATTGAAGTTTTGAGAGATTGCAAATAACATATTTATAAGATTATACATTTTATTACATAATGTATAAGTTGGTGAAAACACCTTATAAACTACTTTTTTGTTGAGTATAAAAAATTTTAAAAAGAGGGCCTCCCTGGTGGCACAAGGGGTTAAGCACCACACTATGAAGCAATTCACAGCCACTGCAGCATGAGTTCCATCTCTGGCCGGCCAGGGAGAAACCCATATGGCGAGGCAGACCTCTCCTGGCTCGCCCGCTGCTCCCCTCAGCAGTGTATTTTGTCAGTCTGCCTGTTCTGTTCCAGGCTCTGTCTCTGGTGAATCCTCTCACCCCCCACATCTCTGGCCTGTGCCCCAGCTCTTGTATGCATAAATAAATAAATCTTTAAATAAAAAATAAAAAAATTCAAAAAGAGAGTTATTTATTATATCATGTGACCTATTAACATATTTCACAAAATAATTTTGTTTTCCTCCTATTGCATTCATTAATATTCATGCATATATTTTTAGATTATGGGCTATAGGTTAAAATAACCCCCAGGTCATTTGATTTTTTATCAAAAGCCAACAACACTTTTTTTTTAAAGATTTATTTATTTATTTACACAAGCACTGGGTATAGTCAGAAGCGCCGGAGGGTGAGAGAATTCACCAGAGCCAGAGTGGGGAACAGAACAGGCAGACTGACAAAACACACTGCTGTGGGTATCAGCGGGCGTGGCAGGAGAGGTCTGTCCTGTCATGTGGGACCCTCGCAGGTGGCCGGGGATTGAACCGGCAATGCAGAGGCTGCGGGCAACTTTGCAGCCCATCGTTCAACTGCTGCGCCACCAGGGGAGGCCCAAAAGCCAACAACACTTTTTATTTAAATGCTACCATCTCTATGAATCATAACATTTTAGCTCAAAAGACCCTGCTTTTATTTGGAATAATAAATGACATACGCATGATCTCTTGTTACTAGTCTTAACAGAGTGCTATACAGATCATTGATATTTGTTTTTTTTGAAAGAAGTGATGTTTATTAAGGGCTCCCAGTTCATAGTAATTAGCTCTTCCCTAATAGTGACAAACAAAAGTGACATATATAAAAAAAAATTTCAAAATATTCATGACCTGACTGAAAAATATCCTGTTCCAAAAGCCTGATTTGCCTCTGTTAGCTAGCCAAATCTGTCTAATGAAACAATTTAATATGATAATATATTCAGTAAAATGAATGCGGTCAGATAAATCACTTGAAAGAGATAAACTGTTTTCATCATTTCAGATGGCAGTTTGCTTCCTTAACATTAAACACTTAAGTCTTCTTTAAACTATTTGGGAATTTCATAACTTCATATTGTCAGAAACTTTTAAATGAATTCATGTATTCCTTCTAAATATTTATATCCTCAGAAGATTCTAATCCAAGTCATAAAACTAACCTAGGCTATAAAATCCAAAGAATATGCCTATGAAACTAAATATTTATATTGGTAAACAAATTTTTAAAATAAAAGAGTTTCTTTTATCCAAAAAAAAAAAAAATCCATGCTTAAAAATCCCTACAGCTGGGAAGAAAAATCAAGCAATGGTAAATTAACCCTGTGCTGAAATAATTTTGCCACATAAGTCTGGTATGACAAGTTGAAATTCTTTTTAAGTGAAATAATCCAGAAGCTGTCAATGTAAGTAACAAATGACAATTCTATTTGATCCTTGTTTTCTCACATAATAGGATTCTAGTTTTTAAAAATTACATTTAATGAATATTTATCTAGTTCATCTTGCACAGCATACTCAAAAGCTTCATATTAGCAATTCTGATCTTCGTAAGATGTCAATTTGGTTTCTATTAAAAAACTACATTCCTCAGAATCTTTATGAGAGTTCATAACTGGGGAACATAATTTGTATTGAATGATTAAAGTGGCAATTTTAAGGAAATGACATTTAAACTGAATCAGCCAGAGTATGGAAAAGGTGGTTTCAGTTAGAGAGGATAGTAGTGGGTGGGAAGAATTGTACTTTTTAATAATAAATTAAAAGTTGGATATTTTTTTCTAGGGAGTGCTAGAGTTCTTCAAGGTCAAGTTGGAGCAGTAAGCAGAACTGAAATCACAAGAGACTTACAGATGGGAGTAAGAGAGGGGGGGATGTCATTCTAATACCATAAAAGCCTCTTGAAAGTATTTGCTCATGGAGGTAACTCTAATGTGGACTAACTTAAATTTATATGTTTAATTATAAAAGTAATATTGTCTAACAAAATACAATGGCATCAAAGTTAATGTCTTTTGAAGCTTCATATAAATTTTATAATCTTACCAGGCAGCTAAAACTTTGAGCTCTGTTTATAGCCTTTCTTTGCTTATACAACCTCAATATGTATAGAGGCTATGATTTACTAATTGTCTTTTCAAATAATATGATAACATGATACACATTCTATAATTTATCCTTTTTACTTTAAATATAGACTGGACATAAAAGCAATTATAATTCATTCTTTATAATGCTCAAAGAGCATTACCAAGTATGAAGTACAATTTACTCAACCACATACCTACTAATATTTACTTGTTCAAATTTCCCATTTTATACTACAATAAATAATGGTACAATAAACAACACTGTTTTATATCATTATATTCTAGTATTTTATTACTAAATATTGATATTATTTAAATAGGGGTTTTAATTTAAAAAGATGGGAAATTTGAATTTTAATGAGTTATGGCAAAATGTGTTCCAAATATTCCCATCATATATAGAATTCTAACAGTTTATAAGAAAGCAATTATCATGTACATTTGTAAATATTGGAAGCTATTACATGTTTTTAAAATTTTCAAGTCTGAGAGGTGAACTTTGGGTTACATTGCTGTTGGTGGGAGTGATTGTGGTTATCGTATCATTTCTATGACAGAATTTAAGATGGGCATCTTCTCACAGGCTCAGTCATTAGAATCATTTCTATAAATTGATCTTTTCCTGTTAAATTACTTCTATGGCTCTGTTATCTTTTTAACACTATTGTCTTCAGATCCTTAAAAATTAGAAAAATCAGCTCTTTGCCTATTTAATGAATGGAAGGTATTTTTTCCCAAAAAATCACTCACTTTTGAGTTTGATTAAGATATTTGTTGGGCCTCCCCGGTGGCGCAGTGGTTGAGCGCAGCCTCTGCAACGTTGGTTCAATCCCCGGCCGCCAGGCGAGGGTCCCACATGGTGCGCAGACCTTTCCTGTCGCCCGCTGCTCCCCTCAGCAGTGTACTTTGTCAGTCTGCCTGCTCTGTTCCCCGCTCTGGATCTGGTGAATTCTCTCACCTTCCCAAGCTTCTGACTGTACCCAGTGCTTGTATAAATAAATAAATAAATCTTTAAAAAATATATTTATTCATAAAAATATTTTATTTTTTTAAAGAAGGCAGCTTTTAAAAAAAAAGATTTATCTATTTATGCATACACGAACTGGGGTGTAGACAAGAGGTGCAGGAGGTGAAAGGATTCACCAGAGATTGAGGAGAAGAACAGGCAGACCTACTGAAATACACTCCTGAGGGGAGCAGCAGGCAAGAAAGAAGAGGTTGCTGTGCCATGTGGGTTGCTCCCAGGATGGCTGGGGATCGAACTAGTGCTTCAGTGACTATGGATAGCTTGACAGTGCTGTGTCTTTAACCCCTGAGCCACCAAGGAGTCCTCATAAAAATGTTTTAAATTTCTATATAATAAAACTGTCAAAGAAAATGTTTTGCAGTTTTCCTGCGAATATATTAGAAGCTAATAGTGTATGAAAGAAACAATTAAGTCATAAATATTTGGCAGCATTTGGGAACAGGCAAGAGGATTACCAGATGTCATTTCAGTGTAGTGACTGTGCACTGAATACCAGCTACAACCTAACTGGTGATTTTCTGGTTTTCCAGAGTTCTGTGCCTTTGTTCACCCCCTATTTATTATTGACCTATTTATTATTGCTGTAACTACCTACGTATAAAAGTTAATTCACAAAACTCATTTAAAAATCAACCAATGATCCTTCTCTGAGAAAATTTTAAAAGATCTTTGCCCAAGAGAATTACAAATTACTTATATACCACAACCCAAACATTAGTATGTATAGCTCTGTGCAACTTTGGACAATTTTGCATTTTTTGGTATATTCGTTTCTTCATTACTTTAACTAATCAACTTTTTAAACCTCACTACTTTAATTCTCTTTCAAATATTCCAGACATTTCACTACTTTCTTCATTAATCAATGAGTGAAATGAAATCTTAGCTATGTGGTTATTTTTTATTTCCTGGAAGCCATGTGTTTAACTTTAGCAGCTGCTTCCTAGGCAAGCGATTCCGGTGCTCTCAAATATAATAATCAAATTGAAAAGAAACAAAAATAAAAAAGCAGTGTAAATATGAACTTCCTTGAGATTACAAAAACAAATCAAGGATGAGTGAGAATAAGAATGAATCACTAATGTGGGTAGACAGGGATATACACTGAAGACTCAGATTCTACATGAAGACTAAACCTTCCTTTCCTACAATAGCAGAATGGAGGAGTGGGTGGGTTTGGATGGTCTCAAAGATTAATAGGTGATGCTGAATTTCCCATTTCAATGTCTGAATTCCTATTATATGTTTTTATGTGAAATATGAATATGGTAGTTCTGAAGTTGGTTGAAAAGTAATGACTGAAGTTTTAAGAAGAATGAAAAATCTATGCCATTTTAAATCACATAGAAGCAAAACAAACTTTCCACTAAAATGTATTAAGATTGTTAAAGTGAATTTATTTAGTGTAAACATGAATACACCACATGGTAAATTTATAATTATATATGTTATTTATAACTAAATATGCATTATATATAAAATAAACATGTATTATATTGATTATCTATGTTATAGAAAAGACTCAAGTGGCTGAAAGTATAAAAACATGCTGAATCAAGACGGGGAAAAAGTATTGCAAGCTCTTATACTAGGAAGCCAGGGAGGTGACACAGAAATATGGTGTGTGAGCTGAGCCTAGAGGGAACACAGTCCCCCAGAAGAACAGCCCCCACAAAGGACAGCTTCCCCTGCTCCAACAAGCCACTATCTAGAGGGCGCACACATGATCAGGGTTGCCAGATCTGATTCATCAAAGAATGGCCAAAACACAGATATCCTGACTTAAAAATATCATAAATCCAATTTTTTTGAAATTTCAGGTTTGAATTTTTGAGATTAAAAGTCAGACAGTGGTTTTCCCTGGAGGGATGGGGACAACCAGGAGGGGACACTAACAGTATTGCACAGAACATTCTACGTTTTGGTCTGGACTGGTTACATGGGGGTGTGTAGTTGACAAGCACATCCTAGAATCATGCAAAGTCTTAAGTGCTTATGCTCCCCAATATGAACACTTGATAAAGTAATATAGTAATAGCAATCATTCACTTTCATTCCCCTGTAACACCTAACACAGTGCTAATAATTATACTAATATTAGTGAGTAGCAAATGCTAGTGCTAGTGAACCACAAATGCATAGTAATGAAGAAAAATAGAGATGCATAGAACTCAAATTTTCTAGTTTCTTTAAATATTTAAGATGGAAGAATTTTATATATATATATACACACACATATATATATGTGTGTGTGTATATATACATATATGCACATATATATACATACACACACACACACACACACACACACACATATATATATATAGATAGATAGATAGAGAGAGAGAGAGAGAGAGAGAGAACCTGAATGGGTTTTACTAAGAGTGTACACTTGAAACAATGTGGTTTTTTTCTTAACCCCTGTGACCATTTGTACTTTTGAACAAATTAAAGTGTCAGAGTCCCTTTTTGGAAACCTTTTACAAAAGGAGGGAGGGAATCCCAACAGAGGTTAAATTGACATTTGTGTAAGTAGATTCAGTAGCTCCATAAACAATATCTAACTCTTTGTGTTATCTAATTAAGCTGCTAATAAATGTTTTCATTGAATGAGGCAGTTATAAATGTATTGTCTTTTCACTGTTCTGTTCTAAACTCAACTACCCAAAAAAAACACATAAATCAGTAAAATATGATTAACGATTAATAAAATGTCCCCATCCAATTTCTGGTATCTATCACAAAACAAACTTCTTATTAATGAATGTCATTATAAAAAAGAGTAGAAACTTAATTTTATGGCAAAGTTTCCTTCTAGATCAAGGGTCAACAAACTTTTTCTTAAAGGACAAAGTATCAAACTACCAAGGAAAATGGCATGAGGACCAAAAGGTCTCTGTAGCAACTATGCATCTTTACTATTACAGTGTAAGAGCCATAAACACTTTAGAAACACATGAACTCAGTCATATTTTCCAAACCAAGGATACCTCTGCTTTAAGCATAACTGAAGAATATTTTAATACATTATTTCTTTTTCTTATATCATTATATCTAGTCTTGAAACAAAATGAAATAGAGCTATCTAACCATCAGTTTTCTTCTGCACTACATTACTACAGGGGAAAAAGTATTCATCTTTGAGTGGTCATAGATTTCAGATTAGACTTTATGCTTGGGTAGCCCCTACATTATAAATAAAATCAATATGAAGCCATGGCAAACTGACCTTCTTCCTTACCTTAGAGTGTTTTCACACAACTTTAAAAAAGTCTGCATTTATCTTGCTGTGCTTCCCAAACATGGAGATAAATATGTTCCCCAACAGCCTGACTTTTTCTGAGGCAGCACTCAATTTATCACAGTTCCTAGCGCACATTTTCCAAAACCTGACAAAAACATCCCTGCAACCTTCAGAGGGGAAAAATAAACCCTCTTTCTCAGACTGTGTAAATTACCTCCAAGTATAGCTATGAATAAAATGAGAAATCCTGATTCATGCTTTCAGAACATCCCAAGTTCAGCAGAACTTAGACCACAAAGCAGGAAATAAAAAAGATGTTAAGTATTCTCATTTATGTCATATTTTTTTAAAAGAAGCCAATTATTGGAGATCTCTGAGCGGAACAGTATTAAGTTGGGGCTTAGCTATGTCTCCTAAGACTGCTTCCTTCAAATTAAGTAACACTAGAAAAAAGAAAACACCTAACTAATGACTTGGAACACAAAAGCGGAACCATTGTTGCCAGAAGGGCTTATAGTTAAATGCATTTATAGTTCTTGAGAGCACAGGAAAACACATTAAC